TCATCAATAAATGTTCATCTAAAAATTCAACTTTTTTCACATCTTCCGCTTTTAAGCATGGCCACTCACAGAAGACGTCAATTGTAATATTTGCGAACTCTGGTGGTGATTTACTAAATTACCACCATTACAATGTGTGGCATGGTGATTTTTGTATGTATTGTATTTGCTTTGCTGACCAATATTACTATCGCTCAACGCAGTGTTGGTGGTAATACTGCAAAGCAAATACAATACATACAAAAATCACCATGCCGCACATTGTAATGGTGGTAATTTAGTAAATTACTACCAGAGTTCACAAATATTACAATTGATGCCTTCTGTGAGCATGAATGCTTTTTAATCATTTGTACAGCGATAAGTACTTTGATTAATCTTCATGAAAAAAACCTGCTATTGGTATTATCCAGAAAAATATTTTTTTAGGGAAAATGTTTGGTTCTGTAGAACTGATAATGAGCTACTTCGTTTCACACAAAACATTTTCATTGATTGTTATTCAATTTTAGGCGCTAAGGTCCTTCCGATTTTATCTCTTTTTCTGTCATAAATCACTGTATGTTATAAGAGTTGTAGCAAATGGTGAGCATTGTTGTTGTAGGGATGCTTAGGATATATGAAGTTCAATAAGGAGTCATGTTGACTATGTGTGAATACTCTTACCGCCAACAACCTTATAACTGAACGAAAAATAAAGAATTGTTGTTTTTATGATTTTTTTTAATTATTTTTTTAATTAGGTATAATACCTTTTACAAAAATAAAATGCCTTTATATGTTTTCCAGTTTGATAAATGATACTTTTTTGAACTTTTCTGTCGCAAAGGTGTTGAAATAAAGAATCAATGAAATTTCCTTAAAACGTTATCATCGCTAATTGCAATTAATTCACGGAAAAAAAAATCTGAATCATTATAAAAAGTACTGTTTAACCCCACGCCAACAAAATAGCCATATTAAAACGCATAAAATCCTTGGAAAAGATACATTAACAACAACATCAAAATATTATTGTATATTTTTTACGTTTATTAGTTCATTTAAAGTGAGACAATCTCTTAAATCACTTGATGATATTAACACAACAATGAATATTGTGAGCGCAAATTACGAGTAATTTGCACGGCTTTATTTTAATTCCATGGAATAACAGACGGAGATTTCGGTTGATGTTGTATGCTTTTGTAAAGTGGTTTTATTGAAATACGAAACGTACGAGCGAACAAGAGCTCAAACTCTGGTGGATGAAATGAAATTAAAATTAAATACGATAATTCATAAATCACATGGTCCGTTGTTTGATAAAAACATATGTACGCGATTTATACGACAAAAGCTTAATGGATTCCAACAGTTTAACACAATGCACAGCCGTATCAGAGTAACAGTACCATCATAATATGGATACAAAATTGTATAAATTAGCTTTGTTTTCTTGCCGTACCTTAGTCGCCAGCACATGGCAATTTATCTGTATAAAAAAGCATTTCACACCTGAACGCATTATATATCTCGAAAATTATGGCAGAAAGAGCTTTGCTTATCCACTGCTTTTGAATACCCCAGCCCACAATCGAACACTTTAAATCATTTGGGCGGAAATTGATTCATAGCGCACGAAAACAAAAGATAAATATACATCTTCCTTAATTCACATACACACATACACACACGTAACTATTATGTGGAACGAAGCTTAGCCCTATTTGCCTATCATAGTCGAGTCAATTTCATCTTTCGCAAAAATAAAGCATAAAGTTATATATATATGCATAAAATAATAAGAGCAAGAAGGTCGTAGAGAATGCTTTCGTGCAAATTTTTCATATTTTCTGGTTTTCGTTGTGTCGACTCGTTGTTATCACTGTCAACATGTCTGCGACAAAGAGATTACCCCGTATAAAATGTAGCACGGCAGTTTGCATGAAGTGCATGCAAGAAAGAGACAAACGATACGTTGCAGTTACAATAACACACGTCATCATTTATTTAAGGAAGGGAAATGCATTGGTTTTGCTCGGAGATGGCTTTATTCGTAAAATTTCCGCATTTTGCGCTTTATTGTCAGTGCTACTATTCATACCCATTTTTTCTTCGCCGCTCTTTCTAAATATTTTACACACAATTCAGTGAAGACGTGAATAACGAAGCGTCGTGTTGCGCTAAGTCATAAAATCGCGAGAAAGAGTGCATTCTCTTCCAATCGAATATGTTGCATTTTCAACACAAACTTAAAAATAGTCGCAGAAAAATCACATTTGAACACACGAAAGAACTGCACAAGAAAATGCCATTATATTTTTTTCTTTCTTCGTCGCCCATCTTAAATGATGTTTCGGTTTATGTGCAAATGAATGCAAAATTTTACTCAAACACACAATATCATTCGGAAAGTGTCTGGTCGTTGTGCTTATATGTGGAAGGGGAGAGCGAGAGAGAGAGAGAACGATGGGAAAAAGATCCGATGACATTTATATTCAATGCGGATGAAAGTTTAAGTGAATCCTTCATTTTTCATTTCGATGGACTGCTCTTTTTTTCAACTTTTTATTCCTTCTCGCTTTTTGTCGCTTCATTGTATCTATATCCGTCTCCGTCTCCATTTATTTCAACACTTCGGTTGATTCGTCCAGTCGTTCGTTCCGTTTGTTACCTTATCGGTTTTGGTTGTGTGTTTAAAACTATTATATCTCAATGATGAAATCAAGTTATAAACCGTTGACTTAAAATAAATAGAAAGTTGGTGTTGCTTTTCATATGATAATGCCGGAATCATAGAAATGCAGTGCACGAAAACCATGTGTGTGTAGAACCGACAAAGAGTTTGTTTATAAATTATTATGCATTTTGTCTTCATACTAATAATCCAAGGACTTGCACCGTACATACACGCTTTCACCAACATTTCAAATAAAATATTTTATGGAAAAATAATGCATTCAACGCAACTGAAATTTATATTGACGTGTGCTGGAAAGAGAGGAAGAGAAGAGTGTGATGCATGAAACGTGAAAAAAAATTGTTGGAAAAAACCGGATTCGGAATTCGGATGTGTTTGAACAAAGTGGTTGGCATCTGTTCACCAATATCATTCGAAGCATTCGCACATGTTCCGCATTTTTTGTATGTGTATGTGGAACATTGATATCAGGTGATATTCCGGCTATCGTGTCGACACACACACACATGCCGGGACAGATGCACACGGCAACGAAAGCTTGTGGTTTTCAATGTTGCAAATTCAAATAGATTACTGCGCTGAACTATAAAACTTTTCTCTGTTTTTCTTTCTCTCTGGATGCATATGCTCGTTCCAGCAGGCATCGAGTGTTGCTTTCAAAATTTGCGTGTGCACAGCTTTTTGACTACAATGTTCGTCCCCTAGTTGAGCGATGCACACGTCGTTTTGTTTACTGCTGTTACCGTTGTTGTCGTGTGCTGTACGTTTTTAATACATTCGTTCAGTTCCATTGCTCTATTCAGGTCTTTCGTGCTCACTGTGTATTTATTAATCAGATGCATATAATAGTAAAAGCGAGTAAAAGGTTCTTCCTTCAATCCTCATATTGTTTACATTGATATTTACACGAAAATTAGCTTGCATAAGAGCATGTTTAAACAGTCGCTTGCCTCAGCCACATATATATAGATATAGATATGAGCGCATTCGAGCACGGTAGAATGGTGAGAAGGGCAGAGGTTTTGAAGTGAGTGCAGGGATGCTCTGCGGAATACTTTATATATGACAAATATGTAAGTGGAGCGAGCCAAACCGAAAAGTCGAGTGGATCGGCGGTGGATACGGCGGTGATGTAGTAAACACTTTATATCAACATAAAATTGTCTCATCTTTTTCATTTCCACACTGAAATGTCTCTCTCGTCCCCCCCCATTCTTCTTCTCTTTTTTTGCATTGTCGTTTCCCTTTCGCTCACTTCATTCATTTCGTTTCATTTCGGTTGGTTTTGTTTGCATTTATTCTCTATCGTTGGCATTTTAGTGCCGAAATAATCCTTTGGTATGCTCGCGGCGTAACATTATGTTTTGTATATACGTTCACGTCTCTCTTTCTCTTGCTATATGTGTACCTTGTAACTGTCACATATGATTTTTCGAATGTGAATCAAATAAAATACCACGTTGCATGAAAAAGAGATACCCGAATAACTCGCTCTTCGTCACAATTGAAGAAAGAAGAATGTTGCGTTAGTGTGCTTGAAATGCGATAAACATAGTTGCCATTGATCCAATGGTGTTTATATGTATCTATCTGTGTGCGCTCGTATTGTGTGGTTGTTATTTGTAAAAGAGTGTTGCATTTAATAAATATGCTAGCACGTTGTATACATTTGTAAGTGGTACTCATTTGCATTTGGCCATTGGAATGGCACAAATCATGCACAAGCCAAGCAGCCCCCACACAAACGGACGTACACAGACTGAACTGGACTCTGACGCTGATGAGAATGTTGCTGATTCAATTTCTTTCTATCTTCGACTTTAGATTGGTTACTTGGACGTGGTAATTCCACCAGATTTTATAACTGAAGATACGAGCTCCGATGTTATCGTACCCGAAGGTTCGTCCGTGAAGCTGACCTGCAGGTTTGTATTTGTAGCCATTGCTTTCATTAATTTCATTTTATTACTTCCCCGTACATAAAAAACTTTCACACCGCAATTGTCTTCAACACTAAATGTACCAATGGGGGATATATCCAACTTGTTCATATAAATATATTGTAGTTTTGTCACCACGATCACTATTTTATTTTTAGCACTGTTCTTTGTGCAGTGCAATCGTTTTATTTTGAAAGCATCGTTAATTATTCAACATCAATATTGGGTTATCTCTGCATCGATGCTCATTTTAATTTACAATCTGTCAACCATGACAGTATTTTGAGTAAAATGTTTTCTTTTGATAAATACCTTAGCGTTTTGTAAGTAATTGGTTAAATTTTCGTTTGTGATGAATAAGAAAGTAGAAAGACGTAGAAATTATAAGGGCTAGGTGAGAAGTCACCTGCCAACGAACCAATTTCTCTCGGAAATATCCCTGACGAAGCACTTTGTGAAATTTTCACCTTTTTCTAATTTTTTTTATTTTTCTTTTAATACAGAGCACGAGGCTATCCACATCCCAATGTAAGTAGTTGTTTTCTCACACATTCCCCTGGACAATAAAATATTTTCGAAAAGATTCTTTGATATATAAGCTCTTAATTTTGTTCGCAGGTGACGTGGCGCCGAGAAGACAATGGGGAAATAACACTGAAGGATGGCAGTGGTAGCAAGCAACTAAGTACAACTCGGCTGCTTGGCCGAAAAAAATCTTCTCTAATTGGTCTTTTTTTTCTCTTTATTATTTTCTCGCCATAGTTACCTCATTCAGCGGTGAAGTGTTGAAATTAAATAAGCTCTCGCGAAGTGAGATTGGAAACTTTTTGTGCATAGCTTCAAATGGTAAATTGATATTTTGAAATTGAATTTGCACGTAACCACAGTAACATATTATACACCTGTGGAAATATAAATCATCCATAAACGAAATTGAAAACTTTGATCTCAAATGAACTCAATTAAAAATGTAATTATTTCTTATTTTCTCTATTTGTATTTCAATTGCAGGAGTACCGCCCTCAGTGTCCAAACGTATTTCGCTCAGCATTCATTGTAAGTTTATTACTATAGATTTTAATTGATTTTTACGGTTTACAAATATAACATTTCATCAGAGAAAAAATCATTTGAAAAGCAACCATGATACAACATTAAGAAACGATAATAAAGAAAACGTAAAGAAGCGTAATGAATAAAAAAAGAACCTGAATGGAATTTCGCATGTAACGCAATTTAGTTGTGGATCCGGTCGAATGAATAAAATGGATAGTCTGTGCGAGTATGACCCGACAAGGAAGTCTTTAATTTTAAGTTTTTATTAAACCCAAGAGCCGAATAAAAAGAGATAGAGAGTATAGACTACTTAAATGCACAGCCACAGACATCCTATGCCATTATCCATTTTAGAGATAAAAAAAAACGAAATGTCGCCTCTAATGAGACGGCCCTTTGCGATATTACATAATTATAAAATTGTATTAAACCATCGCTGTCGTCGTTCTCATTTCCATGATAAAAAAAAGGGCTGTTTGTTGTTGAAAAACAACTTCCGCTTTTGCACGTTTACTCTGACGGCATGGCAAAGAGGGAATAGAAAAACGAGAGGGATAAAAATGGAAGAGAAAAAAAACGAAAGTCAAACACACTTGTTACGAATACACATTGTCAACGTGTACGCGGAAAACGAGGGAAAAATATGCGGAAAAATAAATACATTTTTGTTTGTTGATGCGATGTGAAAATTCCTGTTGAAAACCGAAAATTGAGTCATTCAACCAGTACACGAACAGCACTGTAAATAAACCGGATTGGTGGATGAACTGGTGAATCCATTTCTTTTTATTTTGTTGAGCTTTAATTGCAAGCTCAGACATCAGACTCGACATTGTTTTTTTCATTCTTTCAAGTTGATTACTGCAAACAAAAAAAAGATTTGGTTTATCTGTTTTGGTTTTTCGAATTGTTTTATTCTGTATAAATACATATTAAGTTTTGGCATTTGTTTCAATATTGTCAACTTGGGTATCGTTTAAACCGTCGAATCTGTTGACAACAAAAATGAAAGAAAGAGAGAGAGAGAGGTAGGGAGAGAGAAACTGTAAATGGAAAATGTGCAAAAGCCGGTTAATCCGTTTGTGGTTTCACAACACACCGCTTTTTTTTCTATTTGGTTGTTTATTTGTTTTTATATGCGGTTTTAGATATGCGCTTTGTATGGAATGGTTTTCAACGACTCGTCCATGATACAAAAACAAATATGTAACAAAATCATATAGACTAGGAATTTCAAAAGTGAGTCGCAAACACATGGAATTGGATTAAATAAATTTTTCAGTATTTGAATTATGAGAGTTAATATTTCTAATTGAAACGAATTGGTAAAAGTGTGCTTTCCATAAATAGAACGTAATTTGGATGATGAGAATTGATCTAGTTTGTTTAAAAAAGCATCATTATTTTGGTGTTGGTCCATCCGAAATGTGCATTGACATACATGTCATGGTGTTAATCATTCAAAATCCCATCATGTATCGTCCCTTTTTATCATTCCATTGACGCCAATTAATTCAATGATTATTGGTCAGTTTCGAATTAATCAGAAAGATGATCGATTTCTGATTGATGGTCTCTCTGTCAGACAGAGTCTGTCTATCTCCCTATCTCTCTCTCTCCCGCTCGGTGTGGACACTGTCATTGTGTGAGTGTGAAGTGTAAAAAAGGGGCGCTTGGCATACGTTCGCTTTGATACGATGTTCGTTAAAACCACTTACCATTTTGAAAAACCGCTACCGTGACCACATACCATTCCTGACATATTTTTGGCTCGTAAAATGGCTTATCCATCCATCATTTTGTGTGCACCTATCAACACACTAACTGTTCCTCTCATTTATGTTGTTGCTGTTTTCATCAAAATTTGTTGTTGTTCATGTTTTTCTGGCTTTTTCGTTTGCCCGTTTGAGCTCTGCATTAGGGAGTGCGAACATGAATGAACTCTGGGCATAAGTCATCGTATGTGTGTGTACCGGAAGAATTGTGGTTAAGGAAAATATAAAACGAATTTTGTACATTCACATTTGGAAAATCGCATTCCGTCTGTCCAAATGCATGAGTGCATAAAACATTCACAAGCAATAAACTGATCGAAATTCCTATAATTCTCGTAATTCATCATAAAAAAAATAGCAAAAACGTGTTTTTAATTTGTACTTTTCGTTTAAATCGCCTTATACAACGCCGTTCATTTTCTAATTTTCTCTAATTTAAATGTGGAAATTCGTGCAAAATAACTCCACATTACATAAAAATGAATAATCGAGAAATTTGTTTTTTTTTTCGTGCTAAAAACCGATTGGTAATTTTGTATTCATAGTCAAATAAGTAGTAATTTGCTGTACATTTGTAATGTAATAATAATCAGTGACAGTTAAATCAATAGTTAATTGCTCGATACGATAAAAACCTTTTAAAAAGACAAAAAGTCAACAGAAGTGTTGGTGTGCGCCCGTGTTAAAACACATTCAGTGTGCAATTTTGAGTATGCCGGTTACCGCATGCCAAATATTCATTTAACTTTCGTTTCACAAATGCGATGTATGTACATATTTTGTGAAATGGTTTTCAACTGGATGTTCGAAGTAAAACGATATGCACAAGACTCTCTCGTTCTCTTGATATCTTCCCTTTGCTTACTGTATCCCCGTGGAGCCGAGTTGAATTGAGTCGTCTCTCTCTCCAGAGTCAAGTGAATTCTTGTTGAAAATGCCAAATTACGAGCAAAGCTCACGCATACACACATGAAAAGGCGTTGGTTCGAAAAGTGAAAAAGAAAATGATACAATGTGGCTGAAATTAGTAGTGAAACAGCAATTGTTAGTTAGAGTGTTGCATGGTCTTTAATCATTAGTCATGCACGTGCTGAATAACCCATTTTTGGTTGAAGCTGAACTATGCAATTTTTCAAACCGACAAAACGACACATACGAATGTTCATGTGTTTGTGTATGTGTGGCCATTGCATTGCAATCACAAATTGAGTTTGCTAATATGAAGAGGCCTTCTTCTCCCTCCCCCCATGCTCACTCTTTCCGCCGCTATTTCGCACCCACGCACACACTTAAACAACACCGTACGAAAATATAAAGAAAATGAACGGGCAATGCGATTAGTGGTGTAGTTTCCCAATGCCGTAATTGCATAGCATTCATGTATTTTGATGCTGATGATGAGTGTCTAGTTGCGTGAATGTGTTTATGTTGAGGCCAGCCTCCCTCGGTTCTCCCGCTTCTGTATGCGATGCAATGTATAGAAAATTGTAGCTAAAATCCAAAAACAAATACACCCGTTACGTGTGTGTATTTTGCGTGTTGGCATACGTGAATATTTATCGGTGATTTGGTTCATACATGAAATCATTCCATTAGAAAAATGGATTTTTGGCAAATGGCAAAGAAAGAGCATGAAGTGTACGGTGGTTCGTTGGCAAAACTCGAAAACTTATCCAAACTGTGCAGAGTGTTCACCTTTATTTTACACATATATCGAATAGATAATTACAAGGAACGTCTGATTTCAAGCAGAGAATGCATTACATTGAAAATTTACTATTGCAGCAGCAATTGCAACAGCACCAGACACACAGAGAGCGTTCGCTCGATTGAACTATGAACCCATCCAATATAAATACAGCATGCACAACATTCGACCCATCGTGCAGCGGTAATAATGTGCCTAATAATAACAGGGTTGAAATGTTACCAAATCGAACAAAGTTCACAAACGAATCTCGCATGTAATAGTTACCGCACTTGCTATTGGTGTGTGCATGTGCTTTGATCATGAGTTTCACTCTCTCATCGAGAGAACCAAATACCAAGCAGACACCAAGCAACCAACCAAAACAACAACAACAACTAATGAGACTTCTTACCTTTGAATCATACATAAATTTTACTTCCGGTGGAATTCTGTGTGAAAAGTGGTTAGACCAAAACACACTGCGTAATTTTCGACATCACTTTGCGTGCATGTTTATGCAAGCGAATTTTGCAATTCCACATCACATCCACACATCCATACACACAACGCTCTTGAATTTGATCTCAATAAAACTTTGATAAGTTTCATGTTCAAGGATGAAAATTAGACGTTGAAGCTTCAAAGTTAAAATCCAAAAAGTCTTTCAATCAAAGATTCTGCCAATATGAAATGACCACTATTTGGCAAAAAAAAATAAGATGGAACAGAAGATGAATCGATTGAGAACTACTATTTTCATCTTTGATTAAACAAGATAAATGTAGCGCAACCGAAGACATTTTTCGTACAAATGGAATTGAATACCACCGAATTTCCATCAATTTCGACTCTTTCAGTTTCGATCATTCGTTTTATTTAAAACTAGTAATTTTCCTTTGCGTACATATAATTTACCTGAATAAAATTTCGAGTTGGTATTGTAAGATGTAAGCGTAAAAGTACGCTTGTATGTAATTGTAGTTTCTTGGTTCTTTAATTAAGTTGAAATTTGTATTATATTCAATTCATTTTTTTCCACAGTTCATCCTGTAATAAATGTACGCAATCAACTAGTTGGCTCGCCGTTCGAAAAAGATGTTACCATTGAATGCAACGTTGAAGCGTCGCCGAAATCGATAAATTACTGGATCAAAGACGTGAAAGACGGTAAGTGTTGAATGCTACATACGTTTGCGTATTTGTATGTCTAGATTAAGATACAAGGTAAGAAAAAGTGCTGTACATTCAAAGAAGGAGTTGAACCGCCACCCTCAAACGAAAAAGAATCACTTTTCGGGTACTGTACGAAAAATGATAAAAGTTGAAAAATGTCTTCTTCTTCATTGTTTCACAAAAAGAAGTAAATACACATGTGAATGAATATCATTTCTTTCATTCCAAAAATCAATAAATTCGTTCCTATTCTGGGGTCGTCATTCTATATGTACAAAAAGATCATTGACATGTTTGATATGACCTGGTACATTTAGACTCTTGCTATGTATAATACTTTTGCATTTACTCCGGAATTCTGAATTGGATGAGCTCAATATATAAGTAGAGTTATATGTCAATGTGTTTGTGTTTCGAGTTATAAATAAATACTCTAGAGAAACACATTACTTTGTTATACCTTCAATCGTAATTTCTCTTAATTTTGCGGCATGAAACACAATTTCGTTTCGGAACCATCTGAGACTCGAATTTGAGGGCCCTTTATGGTGTGAACCAATTATTTAAGTCATTTGCCAATGTGTAAATAATTGAGATAAAACTTAATAAATACATAATATATTCGTACATTCCGAAAACCGCAAGCTATTTGATGAAGACTTAATTGATTCCTAGATACCGAATGAAAACCATAATGAACCAATTGCTTTGTATTGGGAATATTTTGAATAAAATAAAGGAAAACAAGTTTGACATGGAAAAAATGACAGAATTGAATTTTGAAAAAGATATTTTTGGCATATTTTAAATTTTTGATGGCTAGTTTGATGGTGTCTGAGGATTTTCCCGAAAAAATATTGATCAAAGTAAATAAATCACTTAAATAATACAAAGAAAAGGAGCACAGTGTCAATGCAATGTATAAGAATAGATTTGATATTCAAATCAACACTTACGAATCAATAAACAATTGATACATTCAATTAAATTGAACGTTAATTCCTCTAAAATGTATCTATCATGCCTAGCGATTTTCTATTTATAACATACAATATAGATTTAACTGTTTTCACTCGATTATTATTGAAATAATGTTCATTGTCAAACGTATAATTTACTCATTCAAGTTTCATGTTCGCAGTGTGCTCAGTTTCCGTTGATAAAGAAAATCATACCATTGCTTTTGTGTAATATGAGTACTGTTTTGTGTTGACCAGACACAGACACTCGGTTTATCCATATTGTCATTAATCACTCATTGAATTACTCACACGTCCGAACTTCATTAAATCGAACAAGATGTTTCAATGTAACCGGCTTTATCTAACTTAATATTCTTACCCTCCCACAATTCATTCACATGCTCACACACACGCACACAATCTTCTCCATCTTCAAACTCCTTTTACTCCTCACATTCGTGCATTGCTTTCCGTAAAATGGTTTTAGCTTGGAAATATATCTATCTAATAAACGATATTATCGCAGGAAACTCTCGCACCCTTTTCCTTTATTTCTCTCATTCTCTTTTCCGATATATCGGTTCGATTTTCGAATGTAACAAATCGTTTTGCGATTATCGCAGCTATTTATTGTGTGTGTGTATGTGGTGGGTGAGGAGAGAGCTTAGCACAAAAGTTAAGAGTCGAACAGAGAAAGAGGCAAAACGAACAAACGATAACAATAAAATCAATGTCAAATGTAAAATAAACAGAGCTCTAAACGTTGCGATATTGCTTGCGTGTTTGCCGTTTTGGTAGCGCAATTGTTTTTTTTTCTCTCCTTACTGCTGTCTTTTTCAGCTTCGGCTTCTTTCTATCTCATTTTCGTTAACACGTTAAAAACATTACATACATTGTGTGTACAATAGCATTTTGGCTGTAGAAACAACAACGGTGTGGCGACGGTGGCAGCTCCTTCGAGCGATGTTCAACAGCATTATTCACTTAACAAATAAAAGTTTCAGAGGAAACGTAGCACATTATAACACTGTAGCATATCTATATATAGGGAGAGAGGAAAAGCATTCTATTTTCCCATCGTTTGTCATTCAACACCGCTCAATTTCTAACAACTTACTTTTTGTCTTTGTTTCTTTTGTGTGCATACGTACTCCGCTTTCTGTGTGAGTGTGTCTTTATTGGTATATTGTCTTTGTTGTCAAAGGGTTTTCATCAACAGGTGAAATGATTGTTTCATCACCCAAATACAATGTGCAGGAAACATCGTTGTCACTATATGAAACGCGAATGACGCTCACAATTCGCAAATTTCAAAAGGATGATATTGGTTCCTACCGATGTACGAGCAAAAACTCATTAGGCGAAGTAGATAGCAGCATTAGATTGTATGGTAAGTGACTTAACCCCATTCTTAACTTATATACGTTGTTTTTCTTGTGTATTTTTGTTCTTTCGGAATAAGTTTTTGTATTTTCGACATATTGATTTTGAATGAGGTTCCCTTGATACTCTATGAAATGTGCTCATTGATATGATTGTTATCGGATTATCACATCTTAAATCGAAGATTTGAACAACATTCACCGAGCTTATGAATGGATTCAAAATCAATTTCACTTGAAAATGTGAAAATTTATCGTGACTTTTACAATCAATTCCCAATATAAAATTCGGAAAAAGCATCAAACAAAGATGACAGACGATTACACGGAGAAGAACCGCAGAAGAAATTTATTCAGTTTCGAAAGTTTTATTTGAAAAGTTTTTTAAGCGGAAAATGAATGTAATGAGGCAGATAAAATTAATTCCACTTGCACTTGCACACAACCATTATGGATACGAACATTTTCTCAACCGGCAAATTACGAATGAAAATAAGTGCCTGCTATTGTTAGCGGGGTGAAAAGATGCTCTGTGCAAATTCAATCTCAATTTTTTGTTCGTGTCACACATTGCAAACAAAGTAATGTCGTTACTTTGTTTTAATCGTAGTTTTTGAAGCAGGGTCGGAACCTTTATTTTTTGAGACACAACTCACTAAAAGTAATAACATATTTCTGAGCAAATTTCGACATTTCATGGCACAAGACCTCAAATTAAATCTGACCCGACTTGAGATTTGTCCAAAATTAAAATCCGAAAACTTAGCAGATGAAGTTCAGCCAATTGTTGGTCTTTTTTTTAAATAAAAAATTGATTTTTTTTGCAGAAATTCCAGACGCAAAAGGTACCCACAATCATCACAATCACGGTCATACGTCAAAGCACAATCCAAACGAAGTGTATAAATCGCATAAACAACAGCAATCGCAACCGAACCAAGTGTATTCAAATCAGCGCACACCAAAGGTGACACATCCGCCATTGATATCAGACGACGATGACAATATGTTTGGCTCGGCGGAAGACTATGACGATCCAGATTTATCGCCAAACATATTTTCGCGACCAACAAAAACTTCTGATGGTTTTGGCATAAATAATAACCATCATTATCCATACCAGAACAGTCATGGTAACAGTAACAACAATAACAATGCTCGATACAATATACCGTTCAGCAGTGGCGGTGGATCGAATGGAGCCGGCGGCAATGTCGGCAACGGTATCAATGCATTAAACGGTAATAATGCTTTTGTAACGCGCACGGAAGTTCGAGCATTCGATAATGAGGTATCGTCGACGGCTGCATCAACGATCATCACTGGAAAATTCAAAATAACCAGCAACATAATTTATTTGATGCTTTTCGATTATAATTTCATTTTCATCGTCATTAATTTGCTAATTTCGATGTCTACATAATAATCGATTATTTACCATGTACACGATTTGTGTTGAAACAACACATATTCATTAATTTACGTAGCTGTCATCGCACTGAACAATATTTACAACAAACAATAAAACTGGAGGGGGAAAAAAACGAACAACAACCAACGGATATCAGTTTCATGGAAGCCAATATGTAAATCAATATAACAATTATTAATTAATTTTCACACGTTTTTGTTTCATTCTCTTCTCGATCCGGGTTTTTTTTTCGTTTTGGTTCATTTGAATTTGAAAGTGTAGTGTCCAATGTCGTGATAGTGCTTGATGGCAAATCTCTACTCTATTTGTTTTCAATTTAATGTTTTGGTTTTAATCTGAATGTTATATTTGTTTAAAATAATAACAAACAGGGACATGTTAACTGTAGCATTGATTTATTTATAATTAAAAGCCTCAGCGCTTTTTTTTAGTGTTATTGATCGATAAACATTTATACATTTAAAAAAAAACAACGTTCGAAATTGTTAACCCTTTTTCAGCCAGTCCAAATCAATTTGGCTTCTATTTTTTTTCTGCTTTTATGTTCAACGGTATTGATCAAACGAATAATATTTGGCACAAACGAAAAAAAAAACTACAAATGAAAATAATTTTTATAGAAAAAGAAAAAATGTTTTGATGAAAAGGGCAAATATAATCTTTCAATGAAAAATGAACGCAGCAAAAAAAATGTTCAATTGAATGATATTCTATGAAAGCACAAAATGAAAGCGAAATCAGAAAAAAAATTGGTATTCACATACAACGATGAAATTAATAAGGTCGCGAAGAATAAATACACTCACATCCAGCAGCGGTGTGGCTGCATCAATTTTGAGGTAACTAATTAATTTAATGGGACCGGTGATTCGCGGAAAACCAAAACCCCAAAAAATCTGTTTTGTACGCTCACTCTCTCCCGCGTTCTTTTTATCTCAATTCCGTTTGCTCTACTCTATGTGATGATGATGACCACTTTTTTTGTGATCGTGCACGCGACTGCTTTTATTTTTCTGCATATTAAAATTATGATGATGTGCCGCGAACGGTTAATGAT